AATCCAATAACAGTCCAACAAATACCCCTTCCCAATTTAAAAGGACAGATACCAGTTCCCATAGAGACAATCATCGACGCTAGATGATAACCCGCCTTTTCCAGACCCTTGATTGCTTTATATAATAGGACTATGAAGACCAGATGTCCCTTGCCCTAATATTCAATTCCTATATAGGAACATGGCATGGCATGCATTCATGCATTGGGATAAAGTCCTTCTTAAATAACAGTAGGCATGTGCAAAACCTGCTAAAACAGGGCGGATTTCAAAACTGCCCCATTTTCTTAGACTGCATAGATGCTCTCAAGTAAGCTTCTCCAAACAGTTACCAATGAGGGGGTTGGGGCCCTGCAGAAATAAAACCTATTACAGAATTAAAGAGACATAATGTTTTTAATTTTTTTTGGCTTACTACCTAGAATCTTAGTATTTCAAAACGACTGCAAATGAATTTCTCCCTACATAAAACTGTTGGGGCACTGACCCAAGTGCCCCTATGGACAAGTCTCCACTGAAAATAATGTTTCACGAGGAAAAAGTTCACATATATTATTACAATTGCATAACACATACATTTCATACATTTTTATGCATTAAATTAAGTCGTATCATCTTACTGCCTCTTGCCTCAGTCTCGTAAATATTTGCCATGTACAAAAAGGTGTCATCGAGGAAAAACATTTCTTTCACAACTATTTCTACTCATCTTTTAATTCAAATATTAAATCGTGTTCCCTTCTTTTTCCCTTTGAGCGGCAATGAGTTACAATATTAAAAAAACGTTGTTATTATGAATGCTATTGCACTTAGATGTCTAATAAACACGAGTTACCTTTATATCATCATTTATGGGTTTGTAGTAGTTTGTGTCTTATTTTTTTTTTAATCAAGCAATAAGATGTAAAATTTCTCTTTTGTATTTACCATAACTACAACAACCCGTGTGTGAATACATGGTACATTAAGTACCATTGAGAATGAGGATATTTAAAAAGATCTTTATCTGGCTGAACCTGGTGCTGATTACTTGAACTCTAAAGCAGTTACATGTTGTTTACCCACTAATTAGGAACCAATCAGTACTCAATTATCAAAGCATAATTAGGTGATACATTTGAATTCCTAAAATCTGATGAAAGGGAAATGAAGTACACACTGTAAGCCTTTTATCCAATCGCAATAAGTTAAAAGGAAACTCAGTCACCTGTCCCTACAATAGGTTTCATTCCTCAGTATACACAATAATTAGTATGCTAATCACGTGCAAATACACTAAGGCTTTGATAGAAAGGAAATATTGAATCTGACAGTTCCCATTGTAAATTCTTTCCCTCTGTTTGATCCTTGTCTCACCTACTAATGCAAAGGGGATAAAACCAATCTGATACATGAAAGGTTAAAACAAACAATCATCTTGTATGTGTAAAAGACATAAAACAAAGTTAAAAAAAAAAATAGACATCTTTTTGACCATAGCACTTTTCTTTAAGAAAAAGTAATACATTCTTAAAGAAAAAATCATATTAAAGAAGTTGAAATATATGTGCTAAGTTACATAGCATTTCTCTTTTTGCTCCAGAAATACAAGGTTTAAGGCGGCTTGGGGGCTGCCGTTTGTTTATTCTCGTCTGTGCTTTGTGTAGAAATGGTCTATCAAGATTATTCTCTAAATTGTTGAAAATTGAAAGTGAATTTGAAATTTTAGGCCAACATTTGAACGGAATCTCTAAGTCGTCTATGTTTTCGGTTCCCCTCATGTAATTTAAAATTTGAATTTCAAACTGAATTTACTTTGATTCCCCCTGACAATACACACTTTGATGAATATCCCTGTATGATTTGCACGCTGTATTTGTACTGGTTGTTTCCATTGTCTTAGACAATTTGAAAGCAGATGTGAATTCAAGTACATCACTGGCCAAATAAAGCAAGAGAATGGTCAGTAATAACCTGAAGACCACAGGATGTCCTTGGAAACTACCAAACGTTGAATGCACCCTCCCTGGTTAGATACTTTGAAATCAGCATTATCCTTTTAAAATATGGAAACTCTGTTCCAAATGATCAAAGATTAAAAGACAACTCTATTTGATTATTGTAATCGGATGTATAAAATAAAGTTGCAAATGAGTTCCTCAACGTAGTCCACCTCAACTGGAACTCCAATGGTTTTAGCTACTACAGCCTCTCTGAAAGACCTTCATCCTTCAAGATGGATAGGATGGCATATACATTCAATGCAAAAGACCATGTGTTACAATGACATGTATATAGCCCTCTTATTGGCTTAATTCAGTGAATAAATAATGATGGAGAGGCCCAGGAAATGTAGTCATGAGAAAAGCTTTAATGCCAAGATGAACTATGTATATTCTACGGTGTGATCGTAAACACCAAACATATTAGTAAGGCCAAATCTCCTCTCTTTCATAAAATTTCTCTGGAAATGCAAACCAGATTTTTATTTGATCTATTTTATGTATTTAATCGAATGCATTATCCCTTTTATCATCCAACATTATGGGGATTATAATATTCGACCATCGGGCCTCAACCACTATAAATCACATTTTTATATAAGGTTTTACTTGAAACGTATGCTATGGCTGACTATCCCATGATACCATTGGACAATATTTGTGTCAACGGTAGACAAAAGTGACTACAGCCTATTGAAGACAATCAGAGTTATATACTAAAGTTAGGATTTAAAGTGAATTTTGAATTTAATTCCAAAATAGCCACAATAAAAGCATAGCTGGCTTAGATTTTTTTTTCTATTTAGGCTATTTCTGTTAGTAAATAACCCATAGAGTGCATTACATTTTTCGGTTATTATCATGTATTTATATGGCACCAACACATTACGCAGCGCAGAACACATCAAGTCAAAGGTAAATGCAGAACTTAACTAGATGGACAAATTGTTACAGTAGGTATAGTATGTATACCATAGGCAAGTTCTTCTATTAAGATTCTATGTTCTACTTTTGTCAAAGCATGATGAGATTTGTAGTCCACACCACGAGTACTTTTTAAAAAAAAATATTCACAATAAAGAAGTAAGAATATTTTTTAGATCATGCAATCTTAAAACAAAAATGAAAAAGATGCCGTAAGACATATACACATGATAACTGTGTCATTGTATATATTTTATGGGACTTATTCACTAAACAGGACAATGTGGCTGATTGACAATGGAATTGGCAAATTTTAGGATGTTTTGGCTAATAATGAATTTCTCCAGTCATTTCTCAATTCACAAAATAAAAAATGTGCCACACTGCTTTTAGGATGAATACATTGCTTCAACAAAAATAAAGAGAGAATATATTAATAAAACGTTTAACACCTCTGAGGTTAAATCTATCAGTTTTGTGCAAATCTGTGTGTTTTATTCCTCTGTCAGTCCCTCTTTTCTGTTTTTTTGTGTGTGATTACCAGTTAACTCTTTGAGCACCAGAGTAGAGAATATTGCATTCATTTTTTTCTATTTCATATTAACATAAATCTATATCCTTATGTATTATTATTTCATTTATTTAACAATATTTTTTTAATCCAAAAAACTTCATACATTTCCAAAACAAGAAAAAGAAAACAGCAAAATATGCTGACCATGAAAATAAAGCAGCATATTATTATTAATAATAATTAAAAAAATAAAATAAAAAATATATATAATCTATATTTATTTGAATTAAAATGATTATTTTTTAAACATATTATTTACATACGTTTTACAATCTTACAGGACAGGTTAGTTCTGCAAATTGTAAAAAAACAAAAAAACAAATGTATTCTAAATAATTAAAACTGTATTCAACCTCCTGAGGTTTAGAATGGGATGTGTTGCATCTCCATTTAAACGCTCATTAAGAAGTTTCACAAAACTCTGAAGAATTTAGTGCAAGAGAGACAGATCGAGCGAGGTCTCCCAACGTGATATATAGAGTAACAAGATGGGGTAATACAGACAGCGAGCATTCTGTCTCCACCAAACTTCAACAGAGGCGCCCCCTCATAAAACCAAAGATAAACATTTTATCAGCTCTCTCTGCACCAACACAAGCTCTATACCTTAGGAAAATATTTAGCTGGGGCTTATAATGAACTCTGCAGCTGTGTGGCACTCTTATATACAATAACACTAAACTGATCTGAAAGAAAAATAAAATATAGACGATTTAGCATATATAACCATTTTATTCTGGCTGTGGGACGCCTGCACGTTGTTTCCTTATAGAATCACATTCCCTAATGGGTTCAATAAATATTTACAATAAATAGAACGTTCACATTCTGCTGGTTACATTGTAACAAGTTTGACATTTTTTTGTCGCTCTATACACTAAACATTAACAATGTCTTGTCTACTGTTAGAGTTTATTTTTGCCTGTGTAAAACATAGGAGGGTGTCCACAAACTACTTTAAAATGTACAAAATATCACGTTTATTAAATTCCTGCATTAAGAAATGGGTCATATTCTATATAAACTACGTGTCTTAATAAGATATGTGTATAGAATCTTAGAACAAGGTTATAATTGTAATAGTTTATGCTAAGTGAACTTTAATGTGTAAATATTCATTAGTATATCAATACTTTGCAAAGTTGTATACACACACACGTGTTTTGTACATGATCAAAGAAACATTGCTTTTAGTTTTGTTCACACTTCCATTTATTGTATCTCATGAATGGATTGTATTAAATACAGCTCTACGTGTCTTACAATCACTCTCTTAATTCCTGTAACAATAAAAAGAGAATCTCTGTTATCCCTTCACTATAAAAATGGCTTTACATGTGTCTTACAAGGAGATAGTTTTACAATTAAAGTCTTGAAGGAATCCTAAGGGGATAACGAACCAGTAGAGGGCGCCAGATTCCCAGTCCCAGTGGCTTGCAGCCTTCAGGAGAGGACACCCCCCACCCCCCCTCCTTTCTAAGTCTACCACTCAAGAGGAGAGGGAGGTGTTCACAGGAGAACCAACCCAGCTACAGGCGAGAGCACAGTACTTACACATAAATGACATCACAGCCCTATGGAGCCCGGCTAATAAATCCTAAGTAGCCAGAGGGACAAGGTACAGAACCTACAGGATTACTACAAGTAACACAAGTGCTGAAGGAGTTCTCCCGAGCAAGAGCCAGGATAAGCAGATAATGCAAGGACAGATAAACTCTGCAAGTTTGCATGGATAGACCTGAGAACCCAGCATATTTCACTGGCTGCATCCACTACACAAGGAGTAGCTGAGAACCAAGTCTGTTTAGGACTTTCTACATTTTTTTTTTCTGTGTGTGTGAGAGAGAAAGTCTTGCTACACCTCCTTCATTCTTCTGCTTTCTCTCTTGGAGAAATTGAGTCTCTGGTTACCATGGTGATCCAGCTGAAAGTGAAGAATATTTAACAAGGGGGAGGCTGGACCCAGCAGGCAGACAACCTGGTGCCATCAGGGCTGAGCTCTGGGACTGGGCAGAGATCACAAGGAATCAGCAAGTTCTGAGCTCTGTTGGACTGCAATGAGCAGGGGGTGACACCAAGGCTGCTGGCTCTAAGAGAACCCCCACCCCCTTTCCCCCCCTTTCTGATGAATTATTTATGATCTTTGGCAAGCCAGGAGAACTGTATTCTCACCGTGTGTGGCTGTGTTCAGCATGTATCATTCCCAGTGCCTTGTGACTATATATACCCTGGTTGTCTTCTTGGGACTTCGCATTGACCAAGGGGTATGTCAACATTACCTTCACATCAGACCTGCACCTAGTGAAAACCTTCCATTGGTGGATCTTATTGAGCACCCTGACCCCATATTTGACCCTAAGGAGAAGGACATTAACGAGACCTTGCTCAGGGGTCTCATGGCTGGACATTTCGACCCCAACTTCATGGCCATCAACCTACCTGAGGACAGGTTTGCAGGAGAAGACCTTGGGGAGTTGGACCTCCTCTTGAGGCAGAAGCCCTCTGGGGCTATGCCTGCTGACATCAAGGGACTGGAGTTGTATGAAGGTCTTCAGGGCAAGAAGCACAAGTTGAGCAAGAAGCTCAGAAGAAAGTTGCAGATGTGGCTTTGGAGTCAGACTTACTGCCCTGTCTTATACACATGGAATGACCTGGGCAACAGGTTTTGGCCTCGTTATGTGAAAGTTGGAAGCTGCTACAGTAAGAGGTCCTGTTCTGTACCAGAGGGCATGGTCTGCAAAGCTGCCAAGTCTATGCATTTGACCGTGTTAAGGTGGAGATGCCAAAGACGTTTACACCAGAGGTGTGCATGGATCCCCATCCAATACCCCATCATATCAGAGTGCAAATGTTCCTGTTAAAAGAAAATAGGACTCACAAAGACTTCTGCAAAAAAAGGCATAGCTTTTATCCGGTTATTGGTGTGTGCACTGTACTATGTAGGAATGTATATGTGTGTATATATGGTATCAGTTTAAATTACTATTAAAAGGTCAGTATTATTCTTTTAAATCACCAGTGTCTACTGTATTTCCAAGACTTAAGTAATCTGGTTGTGTTTAATTTTATTTTATTATAATTATTTTTAATATTTTTTTTTTTTCCTTATTGGCTAATGTATCTGTATTTATAAACAAAGAGCTCTTCGCATTGCGAATGTGTTTTTTTTTTTTAAATTACTTTTATTTTATTATTTTTTTAATACAAAATGTTTTCCCATTTTAGGGAATTTTTTTTTTAATGGACCTCAGATAACATCCCCCCCCCAGCTCCCCCTAAAAAAAAAAAAAAAAAAAACAGAGTGAGATATTTTTCAGCTATTGTACATAGAGAACACATTTTTTGGGGGAATGAAAAAAAAACACATTAAATAATTAATCTTGTAAAAAAATGAAGACTATGCTATTTATTCTTTTATTTTTATTCATCCCCTTGTAGTAAAAGTTAAACAGTGCAGAATAAATGAGAACCACTAAATATGAAACCGGTGCAGTCATGTCATGTTTATTAAAAAAAAGATTGTTTGTGGTTAACATGCTTTTTTTCAGTGTCAAACTCTGCTTAAACCAGATTGCTTGTAGTGATGGTATTGTTCTTTTTTTCCATTTTTTTTTTAAAACCAAAAGTTTATAATATGTTGACATGTTATAAAATAGCAACTCTGTTTTTTAAAAAAAAATAATAATAATATTTTTTGGGGGGGATACAGGGGATATTTCTGTTTTTATCAGAAAGGGTCCTTGTGTAGTTTGCCAAAGGCTGTGCGTTCTGTGAGTGCACACTGTGGGTTCCCTGACATCCCATTTAGAATACAGCACGTGGCTTTCACACCTAGTTTGTGAAACTTGACCCTTTTAGGTGCAGAGCAAACTGTGTTTCCTTTGACTAAGCTGATTCCACTGCTGTTGAGTTTTCCCCTTCTGTTACTCAAGCCTACACACACTTGTGATGATGACTGTTAAGTTGTACAGAAGCGTTTTCCCATTGATAACATAAGTATCCCCATCTCCCCTATCTGTGATTAGGATCTAAAGTAGAGGAGGACTTATATCAAAGTCAACATAAATTCTATCACTTGTGGTTTGGGAGGTGAGGAAAAGGGGGGTAGGGTGGAAGGGAGAAGTGTCTTTTTATCTGATCAGTGATTAATGGCCATGAGTGACATCAATAGGGGAAGACTCAGAGGTGTCAGGGTATTTGTTAGTTGATTGTTTAAAATCAACAGCACATACAACACAAAGGGGATTGAGCAATCTATAGTAATGAGGACATCAGAGGAGATAAGGTCATCTCACTCCTGTGTATTCAGCAAACACCTTCTTTTTAGAGAAGCAGTGTTTTTCAAACCAGTTCTCATGGACCAACAAGGCTCCAGATTTGTCATGATTATAATAAAATAGGTGGATCATGCATAGATCAAATGTTCTACGCAATGTACAGCTAGAACCCCCCCCATCGGTTGTGTGTCGTAGTTCTGTTATATTGATGGTTGAAGATCACAAATGCAGAATCTGCAGCGTGATAATATACTTCTCTCTTACTTTTGCTTTTATATCTCTAACCTATGCCGTCATGTGGTACACATAGGAAAAAGCCCGCAGAGAAATGGGCACTATTGACCCGAGCGGCACTCAGTAAGCTAGAGTGAGGGGTGATTATAGGATTGTAGCTTCCGCAGGATCTGACTAGGAGAAATGCACCATTTAAATTATTAATATTTTTTTTTGTTACTGGCCACAAATCATGTTTGTAATCTAGCGGTGAAATTCGTTAGGGAATGGGTTAATAAAAGCACTATATTCACATATTACAAGGGAGGGATTGACCCCACCCCATGATAGCTGAAAAAAACCTTCCCACCACGTGAGAATTTGAAGTGTCACTATGTCTCGTACGGCAGGCTTGTAGTAGTTGTTTGATAGCTATATCCATTAACAGATTGTGGTTCCCATTCTTCCAACAAAAAGGGATTCAGCGTCCCGTCTCTACGTTTTGTATTTCCTTGTAGATTCTTATGAACCGTCATTTATGAATTCGTCATTTTAGCGTCATCTGAGAGTGCACATAGACCTTCCCTCTTCTCTATCTTGCTATCATATGAAATATTTATTGTGTTTTTATTTTGCTCAAATTCCACCGCTTACTGCTTTTTAATTAAATGTGTCTTGTATAAATATCTCCTCTGATTTTTTGTCTTTTATAAATCTATGTTTTTGTTTTTTTTCAAGCCTCAAATATTCACCCCCCCCTCCCTCCACTGGAAGGGTTAAGTGCAATTTGGGGGTATTTATTAGCTGTAATATAGAGGAAGATCTGTCTTATCCCTCTTTACAACAAGACGTCCTGCCCACTCTGAGAGTTCATTGTAAAAGGATTAAATGTTTAAATACCTTTCATTTTATGATTTTTTTCATTTAATCTTGTGTGGCGCCTGGATGAGATGCTGAACATTTAAAATATTCCTAATGTGACTCCAGGCATGCAAACATACCCCTAATTTATTTCGCAAAGAAAGAGGATATTCAGATAAATGGGTTCCCAAACTAGCGTTACTATGTATATTTGTTAGGTTCTGACAAATGCCCAAATCGCTTTAGAATCAACTATTCATCACGTACGAATTTATGCAAAAACTTGCTGTTTTTGTGGCCAAAAGTTTGTAGACATATATATCGATAAATATAAAATACTTTTTTTTTATAAATTAATTTTTTTTTTCACACTGGATTTTTATTGCAAAAAAAAAAGTTTGTTTTTTTAAAAAAAAAAAAAGCCACAAGCCAGCATTTTCTTTACTGGTAAACATGAGCATTATATGAACAGAAGTATTTGTAACTGGGACTGGGGCCAACAAGACTAAATGTCAACAAATTTTGCCCAGAGTTGGACTATGTGACAGGGTTACACTCCCCCCCTGTTGACATATAATATTAAAGCAATTTGCTCGCTCACAGACAGAACTTCACATAGAGCTATGCACACTGTCCCTCTGTGTCACCTTTGGGTGACTAAAACCAATTAGAATAGGTCCTTGTGTGTAAAGCAGAGATTAGGAATTTGAAAAACTGCCCTTTTTATGCCCAACTTTAAAAACAAAATCTTAAGTGCACTAATTATAACTGCTAAATACCTCCTTAAAACAATCTATCAGAAAAAAAAATAATTACAAATCACAATTTTTACTTTCAGTTACTTGGCTTAAGTCAATGAGTTCATTTATTTATAAATGTCTCTTCCAAACATGGCACAGTTACTTGGGACAGGTATATTATTTTATCCTGGTAATACCGTTCCCCCATAATATTATACAAATATATCATTATATAAACACAAACGTACGTTTGGTGAACTGCTCTGGGAACAATTAAGGAGACCAAAGCTTCAAATTGGAAAACTGCATAAACATATATATAATTATCTGTTTATTTTGTCTATATTTCTTTGTTTTTATGCAAACGCTGACTCTTCCAGTCATGTAATAATACACATTTTTGGTTTTTCATATAGAAGAAAAAGGTTTTGTTTTCCCTCATTATTATTAAGAACCCCAAGTAGACCGTACAATCCACCATGGTGGCAAAAAAACAAGGAGTAGAATAAATCCATATCAGACAAAATAAAGAGATTTTTGCTTTTATTTAAAATCAAACATAATTTTAAATTATGCATGTAAGTTAATTCAAATCTCTAATCTATCAATTAATGAGAAGAAAATAATAATAGAATGACTACTTTTTCTATTTTTTATTCTATGTGAGTCCATTTGGTTTAGAACAACTTAAATGAACACTCCAAGCACCATAACCACTACAGCATGCTATAGTAGTTATGGTGCAAGGAATGCGCCCCGACTGTATGTAGTCACACCATTATGGAACTGTCTTTTCAAACAGAAGGCAGCGTTTACATTAGTGCCTTGAGACACCCTAAGTGGCAGTAACTCAGATGGCCACTAGAGGTTTCTGGGTCAGTGCTGCACAGTGTGCTGCTTTGACGTTCAGAGTCTCCACGCTCTGCATGTAGGCACTGTACGTTCCCCATAGCGATGTAGTGATTCATTGCATCTCTATCAGGAGATGCTTATTGGTGCAACGCTGCTTTCATATGGGGAAGCATTGGATTGTCTGAGATTGTCAATTCTGATGATCTCAGCCAAGAAAGTGGAGTTTTGTGGTAGGATAAATAACCTAACAAACTTACAGAAAAGGAAAAAATATAATGGTAGTTTCACTCCAATTTGTGTGTCGTTCTAACACACTCACAAGATAATAGCACAGAGTGTGTGCATATAAATATACACGCACATGTAAGATGGTGACTATACACTCAGGGAGAGCAGGTCAACACAAAATTGCAAATTATGCAAGTGATGAGCCAGACAAGCCAACATACTAATAATGGCTGTCCCTCACTTGGTTCTCAGGTGGTTTTTTTTTTTTTTAAGAAAAAAACAAAACATAAAAAAACATGACTAACCTTTTATCTTTTACCTTTTACTGTAAAAGGTGCTTATCACTAGAGCAAAAAATATTTTTTTAATTGGTATTTTTTTAAAGTAAAGTTTAGATGATAATTTTGTACTAATACTAATTTAATGTGCTGCCCAGGCCTATGAGCAGTATAAATTACAACATGTAAAAGAAGAAACACCAGGGCTAGCGCTGCAACGGGGCCCGCACCCTTTGGGTGTCGCTGAACAGGGACCTAGTTGGGTGCTGCGGACCTTTAAGAGCACAATCACGCTCCTGTAGTATCAGCAGGCTGGGAGGAAGTGAGACAGGTGATTTCCTCCAGGAGATAGAGAGTGCAGGGAGGCAGCAGCGGGTAGTGAGCTACTGAAGACTCACAGCAGCCTCAGCCAGCTGCAACCCACAAAAGTCACATTCCTGCAGACAAAAGGTATCTAACAGAAGGGTGGCTGCAAATATAAAAAATACAAGCTGAGTGTGTATGTTAGTGCATGTGTATCTGTGTGTCAGTATGTGTTTCTGAATGTATTTGTGTGACAGTGTGTGTATTTAAGTGTGTGTGTATGTGTCAGTGTGTTTATGTGTGTATCTGTGTTAATGTGTATGTATATCTGTGTATGAATGTCCTATCAATCGAACACCAACACAAAACACAAACACACCCCTGCAAGCACAAATGTTACATACAAAGACACCCCTGAATTCAAATGAAAAAATAATATACAAACACAGCCATTCACTCAAACACCAATACTACGCAATGTGCATCCGCATTTTAATACAATACAACATCTAAACACACACATGCACACAATTACAATCATTACATACAAACACATCCCTGTACTAAAAGACTAAAATTATATAGAAACACCAACTCTACACATGCATTAAAAAGCAAAATGACATACATACACACCCCTGCTTCCAAACACTACACACAAGTACATCACTGCATCCCAATGACAACAGTACATACAAAAACACCCCTATATGCATTCATATACTCTATATAAAAACATGCTTACATTCAAATGCACAAACACTGCTCACAAATACAAACCCTGTAACGATGGGCAAATGATATATCCCCAGCTGACATAGCATAGTGGGAGTTGTACAACAGATGGGGATCAATCTTTTTGATATTCTTGTGCACAAGAATATATAAAAAGTGTTCAAATTATTTTACTACAGAAGTCACCGTTAAAGATATACTATACATATACTATACATCAGAGCAACTTTAGCTTAATGAAGCAGTTTTGGTGTGTAGATCATGCCCCTGCAGTCTCACTGCTCATTTCTCTGCCATTTAGGAGTTAAATAACTTTTGATTCTATTTATGCAGATCTAGCCACACTTCCCCAGATTGAATTTTTTTGTCATTTTTCAATCAGATGTTAACTTGCTTTAGAAGTTTTTAATCTCCTGCTCTGTAATAACACACAGGAAGCAACTGCAGGGTCTAAAAGGCTATTAGCAGAGGACCAGATAAGACATTCTAGATTAAACAGAATGTGCAATATATATATATATATATATATAGATAGATAGATAGATAGATATATTTTTTTTTTTTTATAGGTTTAAATCCTGGTTGAGCAAGCTACACATGCATACCTCTAAACGTTACAACAGAAAGTACTGTGAGTTTTATTGCTGAGATGTTCTGGTTTACACTCACAGAAAAAAGAAGACATATGGGGTCCAAAATATGAACAGGACTTCCAAAGTAGGTATATTTGTGAGGTAGGATACATACATATTTAAAAAAACAACAAAAACTAAAATGTACCGGCACATCACGGAAATGCAGACAAATCTAGGCTCACCATCAACTGGTCAATCAAGAGCGTTATTCTACCATCAAACCCAAAATTAGAGCAGAAGTCGGAAGGAAGGTGATTTGAATGCTGCTCAGTAATATCCCATTGTTCTATTGCAGTGCTCTTACTGAGCTGGGCACTACATGGCACTGTAAGCCAACAGGCAATATGTAAGTAGTCACAGAGCATCAGTAATGGACTCCTCACAGGAGAAGATTCTGTATAAAGTCTCCAAGATGCACAGTGGAGAAAGAGGACCCGGGTCAACATCACTTCCATTCCAGGACAAGTTAAGTACTTAAATAATAATTTAAAAAAAATATATATTTTTAAAAGACATTTCTCTATGATGGAACACTGTGTGCAAAGTGAGCATTAACCGCTCTGAACCATCGCTCTTTTGACTATAGATAAATTATCTGCACGGCTCAAGATGCAGGCTTATGACAAATCACATATACAGGGATATTAACTAAATTAAGAATTCAAAGTGAATTCAAAGTGATTGTCTCATTTTAGGACAGAGTAGCTGAACTGGAAGCATTGCTGAATTAGAGTTTGTTTGTTTTCCCCCCATTCTTTTATTTTGGCCTTAAATTTAAAATTCACTTTTAATTCTCACTTTAGTAAAAAGCCCTAATGATATCATAACATTGCACAACCCTGTACAATTGAAGTCTGCACTGTGATGCAGCCTGGGTTATTTAGTAAAGTGAAAATTGTCTGGAATTCCAGGTGACTTTAACACCTTAGTGGCCAGACCACTTTTCAATTTTCTTACCATTTGGGACCAGGGCTGTTTTTACATTTCTGCGGTGTTTGTGTTTAGCTGTAATTTTCCTCTTACTTATTTATTGTACCCACACATATTATAATACTGTTTTTCTCGCCATTAAATGATCTTTCTAAAGATACCATTATTTTCATCATATCATATAATTTACTATAAAAAAACTATAAAATATGATGAAAAAATTTAAAAAACAAACTTTTTCGAAATTTGACCCCTAAAATCTGCTACGCATCTACAACCGCCAAAAACCACCCTGACTAAATAGT